AGAAACATGATGGAAAAATATAAGAAAGGATGATGGAGAAAAGAAAGAAAGAATGATGGGAAAAAAGAGAATTATTAAAATAGGTAAGAAATGTTTCGGTCCATTAAGTCGTGTACATTTCTTACCGTTACCACAGCTGGACCTCATCAATACGACGACTGTGGCAACAATATAATATAGTGAAGGGCAAGAATTAATTCAGATGAAAAGGATATATATATATAAACATACACGCATACAAGCACACAAACACACACAAACAGGATTTCGACAATATACGTTTTGTGCAACTGTTGTAGCACAAAACGCATAAAAAGCAAAATAAGGAAAGAAAACGGCACGAGAATTTTTTCTTTTTTGCAAAAGCTTTATTAAGGAGTACGAAACGAAGAGACAGATTGTTATACATAACGACGAAGGAGACAAAGAAGCTTTGTGCAGACATGATGCTCTGCTCTGGCCATTTATACTGGCGGACCAAGCTGCTGCCCAAACAGCTCCAGATTAAATCATTTCTTTTCGAGACATTACATCATGATAAAGTGGGAGATGTGAAAGTGCACTTGTGCACAAAATGTGCAGTTTTGGAGGGCTGACAGTGGTCAGTAATTGCTTGCTGAAGACGTAATTCGTTACTGCGCTTGAACTGCAGCACAAGCCAAATCCAAAGAGAAATGGCTAAATTAACAAGATGAATCACAACACAAAATCGTAATCACCATACCTCGTCATAGCCGGCTGCAAAATTGTACCCATATGGAAATAAGAACATCAGTGAATTAGCGGACCATGTCCAAACTTTATTAGTTCGATTTTTCAATGTGTTAAATTCTTTCCGTCCCAAATCCATTTTCGAGTCGAATGCTCGCCTCTGGATACGAAATTTCTGAAAGTGATTATAAGTTTAACAAAGCACAGAAGAGAGACAAATGTGAAAACGCAGCAAAATTTCAACTGTAATAAACGACACGAAGCAAGCCACTCTGATATATAAACCAGACCAAGGCTGGCGATTCTTGGCAGCCATCAATTTATAAAATCATCGAATTTTTCTATATGCGTCTCTAGGCAGTGAGGTGATTTTTATGCGTTTTGTGCTGTTTAACAACAGCACAAAACGCATATTGTCACGGGGTTGTCTCTGTGTATGTGTGCCCGCAGCAACTTGTCCGCAACTTTCAACTCGAGGACCACGAAAGCTAGAAAGCTGAAAATTTAGAGGAATGTTCCACACCTACGTGTGATCAACCAAATTTAAATTCAGCCTTCGCGCACCCGCGGGTAACACGTACGGCCCCGTAAAAATCTGGGCGAGTAAAATTATCACGGAAATCATGGAAGCTAGAAGGCTGAAATTTTGTGGGCATGCCCTCCGCCCATATGCTACCCAGAAAATTTAAATTCAGCGTTTCCGTGCTCGCGGGTAACATGCACGGCTCCGTGAAAATTTTTGACGGATAAATTATTATCTCGGGAATCACGAAGTCTAGGAAGCTGAAGTTTTGGGGTTTTGACCCCTTGCCCACGCACGACTTTACAAAATTCAAATTCAGCGTTCCCGCGCTCTCGGATATCACTTACGCTCTCGTGAAAATTTTGGCGGATAAACCATTACCTCGGGAATCACGGAAGGACATTTACCCTTCAAGGTTTCAAATTACAAAGCAGTGAAAATCATTTACAGACAATTGTTCGGTGGGCAGAACTGCACAAAACGCATGACCGCACTGGCTACTCTGGTGCGCGCTGCTATTTGTTTTTTTTTTCTTTATACGTTTTCACTAAACCTTTTCACTAAATTTTAATCGATACAAATAAAGAGCGATGGATTTGCATGAGTCAATCTCTGCCAACAACCGATTCCCCGAAAAAGGGGAAGCCAGGGAGCGATGCGCATGTCTGGATAATAAGAACTCTCCAAATGAAAACCCAGAATGATAAACAAAATATAGTCATTTGCGAAAATGCAGGAAAATGAAAAAAAAAAAATAACTTCAATAGTGAGGATAGGATGCCCATCTAAAAATGCAGTGAACTGTGGCAGTGTGATTGTCAAATGATCACTGCGCTGCGCATGTAAAGAAGGTGCTTCCCAGCGCATCCTGAAACATCAGATCAAAAGAAAAGCACTGCAAAAAACAAGAGATACTGAAACAGCACTTCGAGGGAATTGAAAAGAAATTATCATCGTAAAGCATGCATTTACACAAGGGCTGCATGCCACTGCAGCTCCACGTATCACTGCAATGCAAATTGGGCTAATCACTCCTGCTATTCACACGTGACCGATCATTATCGAGAGGTGCAAAAGACCCCCAGCAAATGGACTGAAAGGCCTCGCAAGTAGCAGAAAGGACACAGTGCATCAATCATATCCTGTAAGCGCAGAAAGAAAGCAGCAAGATTACCAGTAAGTACAAGTAGGCTGATTATATGATAATCCGCCTACAGTCTCGGCAACTATGAGCAGTGGCTTTGACAAAGCGTGATATCATGCTATGATAAAATGAGTTCTGATCAGAGCACAGAAATAAAGAAAAACTAGGAAGATTCCAACTAATCTTGCTAAATTCCTCACCAACCAAGCTTATTCCAATGAGCTCAGTAAGTTCCTTAGGTGCTTAACAACTTCTCTTCCGGCTATATTTTGTGCTCTTTTAGTACAACTTCGCCCGCAAGCAAAAGCTCTGTGCTCTCTAGCACAATCGTCTCTTTCACGGAAGCTAAACAACTACACACCAGCTATATGGGTCGGAGAATCGTTATAGGAAACTATCAATTAGTGAACTCTTCTTTCAGCAGTCGGAATAATACGCACTGTTGCCCGCAACACACGATAACCGCCCGCCGTACTGAGGAAACGCACTACAAAAACAGTGCAGAAAAGCACCAAGTACCGATCAAAACGAGGCTGATTCATTCTTCATTTCTGTCTTGCTACAGTCCCGTGCCATCTTTACCTGCACCTTCCACGTGGTTCGGCTAAGCTTGAGTGAACAGATTCCTAACCCGTTCACTCAAGCTTAGTAGGAATGAATGCGGCATGGTATCTTCTTGGCATGCTTGGAGTTGTCAGAGTTTTTATGCAGCCCTGTTTCGAAATCGCCTAGTTCACTGCTACACTGACACAGCGAAGTGGGTTGAAATTTTGTAGGGGCAATCTAATTTATCAATTCAAAAAGTTTGAAATCACTGAATTTCAAGAACGTACACGTGCTCTTCCGGAAGCTGAAATTCCACTGTAACTGAATTTGCAGTTTCAATATTGAAATGAAACATCCGTGAGGTTTTCGACATTGTTTTACTGGTGAATGTCCCGAAAAGTCGTTTCAAACTCCTGAAAATCACAGTGAAAAATCGAAAGGCAAATAATGGACAAAAATATGGTGAAAAATTAAAAACATGATAATGCCGTATACACGGGCTTCTCTGTAGCCATGAAAATGGGAGCTACTACAGGATGAGATTAAATTCTGACCTTCTTCTGAGTCAACCAACTCAGCAGCAGTGCTTTCTGGCAA